CTTTAAAATACAAAGCTAGAATCACAAATATCTTCACTAGCTAAAACTAATGATAATTCCTAAAATATATAATGTATTTTATAAAATAACAAATATAGTTCTATATGTAATACAACAGTTACTTGACTATCACAGTTAGACTTTATAAACAAATTATAAGAAAATATGTCGAACAAAAAAGTAACTCTCAAAAAATGTCATAGTTGTAAAAATATCAATTTTATTCAATTTAAGCTACCACAAAAAAAAAACAAATATTTATATAATAATAAGACATTCATTTCTGACAGATTAATTACTTCAAGTTTCAGATGCCTTGAATTGACTCTCAAAACTAGAATTAAATATAATCATCTTTCAGATTAATTAATATATTTGTTAAAATCAGTGCAGTGATTTCACACCTTTAAACTATTTTATATTTAAAAAATCGTGTAATATAACTAACTCCCTGTTTGGCCTTGTAATCGCCTAAATAGGGGAGAGTTGCCCAAAATGGGGACCCATCACATTTTGTGACATAAAATGAAAATATTGTTCTGAAGCTATTTTCTTGTGGCATTGTAAATTAATTACTATTAAACTGGGAATAAGCCACAATTAAAGATAAAAATACGTTTATTGACGTTTCAATGTCCACTTCGGAAATCGTTCTCAAAATACAAACAGTAAATTAAACAAATTTTGTTTTTTGTTACATAGTGAAAAATTCTTCTAATAATTTAATTTTATCTGACTCATTTATATTGACAATTCAGACATACATTATGCATTTTAAAGTAGACGACTTTAAAATGATATTGCCAATATTGTTGAGTTGCGCTTCTGGGACGACTTTACTTATAAGATAGTTCATTCGATTACATGAAATCAACTTTAACTTGAGAATATCCGTCAGAAAAAAAATCATAGCATGTAATTCGTCTTTAAAAAGACAAACACATGACATGATGACAGTAAAATTCTCCTGTTAGTGATTCCATAGTAAATTATGAGGGAAAAACCAGGAAAAAAACCTCATAATACTATCCCGACATTGTAAGTATTTGGTCGTGAATTTAGTTTACCTTCAACAAACATCAAAATTCTGATTTTATATGTTACGTTATTTAAAAAATATAAATGATGTATCCTCTATATGTTACTGACTTACTAATACTGGTATTTTCTTATTAATAACTTCCTCTTTCAATATTGGTAACCAGATCCTACTACATTCTGCCGAGGAATTTGCGACACAATTGGCCTCATTTAGCATAATTAGAGCCGCTTCTTTGATTTTTCTTTTTTTACCATCCGTTTCTTTTAGGACTATATTTGAATTATTCCATTGAACCCTATGTTCATTATCCCATGCGTGTTTACAGATTTGAGATCTATTAAATTCCCTATTTTTAATATAAGATTGATGTTCACTTATTCTAACATTTAATGGCCTTGATGATTCACCTAAATAAAACTGATCGCATTCACAAGGTATTTTATAAATGCAATTCTTTGTCCTTTCTTGTCCATTGTTAGGTTTGGTTTTGGACAAAATAGATCTCAACGTGTTTGTTGTTTTGAATGTTGTTGAAATGTTGAATTTATTTCCTATCCTTTTAAGTTTTTCTGATAGTCCTTTTATGTACGGTATTGTTATTTTCCTCATATTATTCCTTGTGTATGCTGTAGGATCTCGTTCTAAGTTGTTCTGTTCTATTCGATCGATTGTTGAAAATTCCTTACATATTTATAAACGATAAAGGATAATCATTTTTTAATAAAACAGAAGTTAACAAATGTTTCTCCTCCAAGAACGAATTTTCGTTAGAACAAGTAATTTTGGCTCTATCGTATAAGGATTTAATTATTCCCTTTTTTACATTAATATTGTGATTTGATTTGAAATTTAAATATCTATTGGTGTGTGTTGGTTTTCTATACACCTGAGTCTCATATCCCGTATCGTTCTTAGAGATTAAAACATCCAGGAAAGGTAGCGTGTTATTATACTCCTTTTCCATGGTAAATGTTATTGTCTCTTCTTTATCGTTTATATCATTTAGGAATGTGTCCAACAACTCTGATCCATGAGGCCATATTGAGAATACATCATCTACATACCTCCACCATACTGTGGGTTTGAAATTTTGTTTAGAAATGATATTTGTTTCAAAATCTTCCATAAATATATCGGCTAAGAATGGAGATAAACTAGAGCCCATTGCTAGACCAAAATTTTGTTTATAGAATTCATTATTTAGTTGAAAATATGTATTATCAGTACATAATGTTAATAACTCCATTATAGCCGATATGTTTAGTCTTGTTCTAGTTGCCAATGAATCATCACTCTCTAATTTTGTCTTGACTATACTTAAAGTCTTATTTAATGGCACATTCGTAAATAAACTATTTATGTCAAAACTTACCAAAGTATGATTTGAATTAAATTCAATATTTGATAATTTATTTAAAAAATGTTGTGTATTTTTTATGAATATGTCATTTTTATTTGTAAATGGTTTTAAAATATTTAATAAAAATTTTGATAGTTCACTACAAGGAGAATTCATGGTACTACAAAATGGTCTAAGTGGTATATTCGTTTTGTGAATTTTCGGTACTCCATAAAAATGAGGAGTCTTACTGTAATGAGGTGTAATTAATCCTCTCTGATAACTTGTTAAAACATCTTTAAACTTGAATAAAGTTCTATATATTTTGTTTTCCAAAGACTTTGTTGGATCTTTTGTTAATTTTGTATAAGGTCCGTTTATTAATAGATCTTTAATTTTATGTTCGTATTGAATTTTATCCATTATCACAGTTGCATTCCCCTTGTCTGCTGGTAGGATGATTATGGAGTCGTCATTTTTTAAAGTTCTTATAGCCTTTAGCTCCTCTTTGCTTATGTTTTGTTCAATTTTAGTAGATTTTTCCAATTCAAGTTTACATAACACTCTGTATTCTTCCTTTTCGTGGGTTGGTAAGCATTGAGATATTTTCTCCACTGAACTTATTATGTCTAATTTTGGAACGGATGGCTGAGTAACAGCAAAGTTTAGACCCTTTGACAGTATTAAATTCTCCGTTGCATTTAAATGTCTATTTGATAGATTGACAACTGTCGCTAATATGTCATCATTTCTATTGAGGTTATCTAAAGTGTGTATACTGTTTTGTTCTAAAAGAATATTAAATTTATTTAAATGTATATTTCTTTGTTTTCTATATGAATTTTCATATACTATATGTAAACTAAAAATAATTTGATCAAAATCAGAATTTGATATCACATTGAAAAGCAAATCTTCAATGCTTACAATATCTTGTTCAACAAAAAATAAATTCGATCTATGATATTGTAATCTTTCTCGGATCATATATTTTCACTATGTAACAAAAAACAAAATTTGTTTAATTTACTGTTTGTATTTTGAGAACGATTTCCGAAGTGGAAATTGAAACGTCAATAAACGTATTTTTATCTTTAATTGTGGCTTATTCCCAGTTTAATAGTAATTAATAAAATGAAAATTTGTAGTAAATAAAATATTTTACACAATTATGTAGTTAAAGTGTGTCTTCAGGTACCAGAAAACAGATATTGAGTATTTAACAAAAATTATGTAAGGACAGAAAAAGACATTTTTGAAAATGTGCAAATACCTCGTTTTTCAAGAAATAGTGGGTAAAATGGAATACATGGAAATATTAGGTTATTTTTTTAACTAAACATGTAATTTGATGAACTAGAAAATCGAATAAAATAAGTAAACTAATCTCTAATTTTCAGTAACTGTCAGAGTGACGGTAATGAGATCCAATTCTCGCTTGTACTGCTGAAAGTGGCGATACAAAGTTGTCAGTGTTGCCGCATTTAACACTTGGTACCTATAATATTCTATTACTGATTAAATAATGATGCAATGATTGAAAAACTCATTGATTAGGGGTGGTACAAACGCAAGGGCTAGACATTAGTTACTTGAATACCGACTATTATCCAGTTTAATTGTGTGTCACTATTATTCTCTAAACAAATATTTATTTTAAACATAATATATAAATAAATAAAGTAGATACACCTACTATATCCCTGAGACTACAATATGTTACCGGTAATTGGTGTTACAAGAAAAATATTGCTATAGATAAAACTAGATTCCCGCTGGTAAAACTAGATCGAGTTGCCAAATAGAAATTTACAATTAAGGCGTAGACTAAAAGACAAAATAGTTAATAAAGGCACTTCCGAGGGAAATACTCCAGTAATTATAAATTTTTCCAATTTTTTTAGGAGCTATGTTAATGTTTTTAAGATTTACTTCTGTCAAAGTGCTTCTATACTCACAGAACATTCGGACGGTTCCTCTTTTATACGAGGCACTGCTCTAATTTTGAAATTTAGCAACACTGCAGTGATCAGATTTTTGAAATATACATATATACTATATACATATAATATATATATATATATATATATATATATATATATATATATATACCTTGAGTGAACTTGAAGAAATATCGAACTCCAGAAATAAATGTAGTTTCAATTTTTTTAAGCCTCAGACCGCAGTCCCGACATTTTGTCATGATTCAGTATTTTGAAAGACAAGAGGCATTTCTAAATGTTCTAAATATTGTTTTTTTGTTTTCGTCTATCTCGAAGTTAAATATTAACCTTCTTATGTCTGTAAAAACTATCTAATCTTCAAGCAATACAACATGTAGCTTTAAATATTCAGTCAGCTCGTCAATAGAAACAAATAGATAAGAAGTAATATTAGGAATGAACTTCATTAGAAGCATAAGTTACTCTTAATATAAAATTAAAACTAAATAGAAAATGTAAAGTATAAATAAAAATGATATTATTCAAAAATATTATCCAGTATGTTAGATTATAGTTGTGGGTAGGTATTTGGGTAACTCCGTTTCCCGTTATGTCTTGTTTATTTTAAATTACATAAATTCTTAAATAAATCAGTGCTAGTTTTAGAAAAAAGTTTTTAAAGAATCACTTCAGGCAGGAATGTATTCGGTTTGGGTAATATTATTATTAAAGCCACAGCCATCAAGACGTGCCACAAACTATGGAGATACTTGTAGTTATCCTCCGTCTGTAAAAAAGCGTAACAAACTAAGCCTACTGTGACAACGGTTACACCGATCGGTATCTTATAATACAAGTAATTTCTATTGGCAAATCTCTGTTTTACTTTGCGGTACTTCAAGATCCAACTGACAACTACTATCAACAAACCTGTAATAACGGGTAAACCGAAAACCCATAAAGAAGTCTTGTTAATGGTAGTACAAAACGCTAGTACTATAGCTCCCACCATATGGCACACAGAGGTGAGTAACTGCGGTAGGTCTGCTATAGCGATGAGTGTTACCCATATGGCTAAGATGGCGCAGAAGAAATCTCCGAACTGTAGAGCTGAGAGACGAACCAGGCAGAAGTTGATCAAATTCTCTCCCGCATCACAGGCGTGGTAGAACGTAGAAAAGAAACAGATAAAGAAATAGGTGAGTGCTTCGATGTAGTATTTCCTTCTATAGGCTATATAAACTGCTGGTAGAAAGATTAAATTGCTCAATACTAATAGTAAAAGTTCAATTACTACCATATAGTAGGGAGTCGCTTGAGAATTGTCAGAACAATCCCAACCTAAAAAAGAAAAAAGGTTATATTTACTAAATTATTTATGTTTTAACATAAGTTCATTATTATTTTTAAATTATTTCAAGTTATTGAAACATTGGAATCTAGTCGTTTTTATATTTTTAACCCTTTAACCCTTTGCGGCTCATTGGTTTCGCCACGAAACCACCAATTTCATCACACCAATGTGCTCAACTGACCTACTGGATCCACTACGTGGCCATACTAGCAGTGCCATCTATATTTCAATAGATGAACTTGAAGTCAAAATGTTTTAGTTTCATGTATAGTTAGAATTTTTTTGGTATGATGGCGGTAGTGTCACAACACGTAATTCATATGTTTGGAGTAATTACAATTTTGACTGTTTTTTGATAAAAAATAGCAAAAATAATTACGGGTAAGTTATTTATCATGTTGACACAGACCTGTACTCACTGTTTAGAATATAATATGTAACCAAAATGTGTTTTTGTATCATTTTTGGTTACACTAAAAATATGGTTTCACAGTGAAACCAGGGACAACTACAGTTTCTTAATTTCAGGTACCATGGAATGTAACAAGTGGAGTTATAAGCAACTAGAAATGTTGTCCGAAGACGGTTTGGAGGATTTATTGACAGAAATACCCTCAGATAAGGAGTCAATTTTTCAGCTCGGGTTCCGATAGTGACTCCCGAGGATTTACCAGTGGTTCATCGAGATACTATTCTAGAAACATCTCCACCAAAAAAAATACAAATTCTAAACATCACCATATTATCAAGCACTAAATTAGGAGAATGTTCATCAATCGAAAATGGAAATAAATCTATGAGTGTTACACTTATCCCTTCAAACATTTTGAGAACAATTGAAAGTAGCGAAGATGAAGAACAGTGACGATGACGAGAAAACACACAAGATGCCAATAAAACTAATAAAAAAGAGTGATACGAAAGGAAAACGGACGGTAGATGAACCTGCTAAAAATACTAAGAAATCATCTAAAGTGACAAAAGAAAAATATATCAAAAAATCCAGGCCTTATTTGGAATAAACAATTTATTCCAAATACTATTATTCCTTTCAATATAGAACATGGAGCATCGGTTGGGAGTACAATATAATATCCTCATAAAAATTTTTTTGCTCTTGATCTCATAACAGATGAAGAAATTAGTGCTGCAAAGCTATCTGGCGTCTCTAAAGCCACAATCAGTAGGCTGGTGAAACAAGGCGAAGATTACGTTCAAGCCAAAAGCGCTGTAATCAAGGCCAATTTAATCAAGGCAGCTGAAAAGGCAAAAGAGATGCCGTCAAAGCCATTAGAGGCCATGAAAAAAGTAGTACAAACCCAGAAGATCGATTGCCCAAAAAGACTAAGGTCAGGTGGAAGCACATCACCCGAAAGCCAACGCAAACGGAAAAGACCAAGAACCGAAGGTGTGACTTTCAGCGAAGCTACCGCTTCTGTTAAGGTTGCAGTGGTACTAACAGGTTTTCCGGAAGCCAAGATGGATGTAGACAAGCTGAAGGCAGTCGAAATAGCCATCTTGGGTGCGTATGACAAAATTCCGGAAGCAGGACCACAGGTTCACTTCCTGAAGAGAAGTGCGCGGTGGCTAAAGGAGGTGATTCCAACCCTGAGGCCTTGGGAGAGTGCATTTCTCAGGGCTGTGGAGGGGGAAGACATGCCCAAGCCGCACTCGTGCACTGTCTTCGTACAAGACGAGCATGGAGTCCAAAAGAATCCTTAATAGATTAAGGATAAGTAACCATGGGCTCAGGACACATCTATGAACAGTCTGGGGTAGTAAATCTTCAGACAAAGAGGTGTTATGGACCTTCTCGATGGATTCTGAATCTCCAGAAATTAAAACTGTCACCCTTTTTCGGAGTAGGACGGTTAAAGTTCCTACCCAAAGAACGGAAGACAAAAACACGGAATGAAAAGCCAGTAGCAACTCGTTCCAGTGAAACAGAGGAAACTTCCCTACATATGGAGGTTCAGGAAGAGGAACAACCTTCTTTGTACTCACATACTACACTCATAAGGACTAGTGTCCAAGTGTGTGTCGGACCCACCGAAGAAGGAATGTCCACAGATCCAGAACCGACCATCTCTTCGCAATGAAGAGAGAAATAAGGCTCCTGCAGGCCAATCTTCAACATGCAAAAGCCGCATCGGCAACGCTAGTTAGAAGAACCAAAGAAGAAATAGCAGAGCATATTTTATGTCAGTGTGACAGTCTGGCAAATGTGCAGTTTTTTGCATGGGAGAAGAAAATCCACCGGCAAAGAGCTACATGGAAGTTAGTTTACAAGCTATTAGACTTTATAAACAGGGTCAGGCTAGAGAACGTTATCTAGGACTAGAGGACCACAATACAAAAAAAACTCAAAATAGTTTGAAAATATTTAAAAAAATACTCTTTGTCTCAGGAGGCTATGTATAACTTAGGACCAATAATATTGAAACTATCCTAAAAAAATGATTTATACCATTTTTCAAAGTGAAACACTTGCACGTCACGATATATTTTAAAATTTACAGAACATTAACAATAGGTTTCAAATTTTCCTATCACAGCTAAGAATACGAAACCTATACGGAACTGCGCGATCTTTCATAGGCGTCAACATGATGTAATAGTCAAAAAATGTAATCATCATTATATTGGAAATTTTAGAATTCTATTGATTAAATATCCAAAAACGTTTGTTATTATTAATAATATAAATTTTATGAAATAACTCTTAAGTCTAATATTCCACAATATAACAATTTTAATTAAATATATTAGACAATTGTACACAACTGATAGGGAAATACTTCAAATATTATTGACAGTTAAGCGTGTGGCACAAGTGTATAACGTGTTGCCGCTTTTTTAGAGTAGAAATTCTGTTTGTTTTGATTTCTTACACAATTTGATCATAATATAATATATATTAATAAATTGTATTTATAAATACATACTAAATTTAGACCAATAGCTTTAAAAACTAATTATTGTTGTGTATTGTGATTGTGATATGCCAAAACAAATAAATATTCTGTAGAAAGATGATGCTGAAGCTTTAATATAAGATTAATTATTTTGAACAAGAAATAATGGCGGGACGTTTTTAGTATTAAAGACGTAATTTTAAAATTTAGAATATATAATTTTGTATTAAAATGTTTTCTTATTTATTTTAATGTGTTGCAGTAATCTTAGAACTAAGTGTATTTACTGAAGTGCGCGCAAGCACTCTTGACCACGGCGCAGTAGATGAAATTTGGTTTAGTTACCACTTCCGTGTGAAACGCATTGTACTATGCACTGTATAATTCCATTTACAATAGAACCTTTCTGCCTTTACGTGAATTTGACTCCGCCTTCGCGCAGCTCCATGGTCAAGAGTGCTTGAGCGCACTATAATATAATAGTTTGACAAATAGTTGACATTTTAAAAATTCCTCACTTACTAACTATTCTGATGTTTTGGCAACGCTGTGGGGTTCTGACGACGTAAATCTTGAATGACATGCAAGCTTTTTTATATGAAAAATGCTAAATGTAATAATTTATCTTTTAGTTGTCAATTTTTTATTTGTTATATTTAGTTTTATATTTCCGGTACGCTATTCTTCAATCGATTATTCAGTAATTCATAGTGAATATTTATTTACCTTTGAACTGAGATTCATCACTTATTTTACACAGAAATTTTTGAAAACTACGGTTCTTAATAAAAACATAGTCTACGTTTACGTTTAAATCACCAAGAAAGAAAATTCTCTTTCCGATTAACATTTTTATGTTTTCAGAACCCACAGACTACTATTAATAAAATCACGTCTGATAACATTTTTGGTAGACAAAACTTAATCTGTTCAAATATGACAATGACCATTAAACAAATCGATTTAAATGGAAAGTTACCTACTATACTTAATGGGATCAAATTGATAAGGATAGCTTAATTAGAAATACCTTATATTTCTTTCTCAGGTAAGAAAGGTACTCTGAAACGGCTGTAGTGATAATAATTCATAATAAATTTTGTGGAAGTGTTGAAAATAGTGTTTTATTGTTAGATAAATTGAATTTCCATCAAGTAAAGGTCGTATTCATCATTTATTATTATGTAATTATATGTATATTACTGTCTGTGTATGTCCCCCCACTAATATTCCTTATAGCCCAGTCTGTTTATGCAAAAATCATCGATTTCACGGCAAAATTTTTCCTGAAGCTTTTAAAACATAGGTAAGAGTTACTAGTTGACAAATAGATGAAAAAGTACTCGTCTTTTTTTTATGGTCACAATTTGATTTTTTGTCTATAAGTTTTTTCCGTTTTATTTTATATAAACAATATTTATATCATTTGTTTATATCAAAAATATCATTATTTTCCGGTTTTTTAAACTATAGTGTATTTTATGTATGAGAGAGTAATAAAACAATAAATTATGTATGCAAATCCCTAAACTGTTGATACGGGTGACTCAATGAAAAACAGATATTAGGAAAACAATTTTAAATTGAGTATGACCACCAGGTATAAAGGTTGGAGCAGAATAGAATAAAATAGTTGTGAGGGTTACTAATCCCTAAATAAGGTTGCCAGTGTCGGAGTGATGGAGGTTAACAGGTACTAATGAATTTGCAAGAAATGTAAGATGTTTATTTTATTGGTTATATATAACCAATAAAAGTTTAATAAGTACCTACCTATTTGCAAAATAAAGTTTAATTCTTTAGATAAAATAAAACGTTTTATTTTATCTGAAATGAGTGCATTCCACGAAGTAAGGATTTCAACAATCAAACATTTAATTCTTTAATTCCAGGAATCTACGACAGTAATTGACTAGATAATTACCTTCTAAACTTATTCCACAGAAAATGTGATAGTGGGTTTTTCCATTTTGTAGGAAGGTCCAAGTGGCGTATTCAAAATTCTTAACAGTTCACTAAAAGTAGGTACTCAGTTGCAAGGTGCAGTTTATTGTGTATACTAGTGTGTTATG